AGGCAGCTAGAGAGTGGAGAGGAGCTGCTGGGTGGCACAAACCATTAAGTGCTTGACCATTAGCCAAAACGTTGGTGTTTCAAACGCACCCAGAGGTGCCGCAGGAGACAAGCCTAGCAATCTGCTTCTGAAAGTTCCCAGCCTTGAAAACCCTTTGGAGCAATACTATTTTGCACACATCGGGTCACCATGATTTGGCACCAACTCTACAACAATTAACAAAAACAGAGAGTAGAGATGAAGATTTGCCACCCTGAGTAATGATAATTTTAGGTAATAATAATTAACAAGACCCTCTTTAAGGATTTAAACCGGCCCCCAACCATGGACTTCTTGTCATCCCAGAATCACTTGATGAAGTGGGAAAGGAATTGAAGATGTTTAGCTAGGGAAAGAAATACACATAGAAGCATGCGGGCCCTCTGAAATGAGTTGAAAGCATTTTCATGTGATTGAAGAAATTCCCTTATTCTGTAAGAGGTCCCAAGGGGAGGCCAGAGAGAAGCAGCATAAGGATGAAGGTTAGGGAGGTTTCAGAGTTAGACAGACATTGGTTAAATCCAGGTCCACATTGATTCAAGAAATTATACAATCTCCCTGGACCCTAAAATAGAGGCAATAATGGTACCTACCTCAGAATTTGGGAAAAATCAAATGAGATAATGCATGTAAAATGAATAGATGTTAGCTTCTCTAACAACCTCTCTGACCCTCTATCTCTTTACCTGAAGAAATGGGGATAATATCTGTACCTGACTAGAAGGTTGCTATGAGATTCAAATAAGAAAATGCAAGTAGAAATCTTTAGTATAGCACCTAACTGGTAGTTAAGTCCTCAGTAAATGGTAACTATGACTATTGCTATAAATACTTCATTACAAAAACCAACGGGCTCCTTCAATAGGTGAATGAATTAACAAGCTTTGGTACGTTGATACAATGAAATATCATTCATCAATAAAAAGAAATGAACTATCAAGCCACGTACATACAAAAGAAGACATGGAGGAACCTTAAGTGCACGTTGCTAAGTGAAAGAAGACAGTTTGAAAAGGATACATACTGTATGATTTCAACTATGTGACTGGAAAAGGCAAAACTATAAAAAAACAAAAACAAAACCCATTGCTATCGAGTCAATTCCGACTCATAGCGACCCTATTGGACAGAGTAGACCTGCCCTATAGGGTTTTCAAGAATTTAATGTTCGTGGAAGCAGACTGCCACATCTTTCACCCACAGAGCAGCTGGTGGATTCAAACTGCCACCTTTTGGTTAGCAGCCTAGCATTTAACCACTTCACCATCAGGGTTCCTTCATTGTGCCACAAGAGGTACTTTTAAGATAATATCTAAGAGCATGGAATTGTAGCTAGACTTCCTGGATCTGGCACCTGAGAACTGTGGCTGTGGGAAAGTTATGTAAAAAGGATATGAGTATCTGCCAAAGAAGGAGTAAATGCAGTGGCCCATGAAAACAGCTTGGCACTGCTCCAGCACATAACATGTGCTCAATAAACCTTGGTTTCTTTTGTAACAAGTAGATGTTGCACAACAGCCAGCTGGCTTCCGTGTAACAAGCTCTTCTTCACAATGCAGCCTATGGATGTTGCAGCAAATGTTCTCTCTCCCAGGATTTGGTCAAGGATGAGTGAAATAAAAATTGTCAGGGATATTATAGAAGAGGGTATTATGGATTGAATTGTGTCCCCCCAAAAGATATGAGGTTGTAACCCTTTTACTTGTGAATATGACCCTGGTTGGACATAGACTTTTTGGTATGCTAATGAGATCATAGGAGAGTACGGTAGGTCCTAAACCTAATCCCTTCTGAGTGGTTTCTTATAAAGGGAAGTACAGACATGGAGAGACAGACACACGGGGGAAGACGCCATGTGAAGATGGAGGCAGACAAATCTACAAGCCCAGGAGCGTCAAGGATTGCTGGCAGCCACTAGAAACTGAAAGAGACAAAGAAGAACTTTCTCCTAGAGTCAACACGCTGAATTTAGACTTCTAGGCTCCAAAACTGTGAGATGATAATTTTCAATTTTTTAAAGCCACCCACTTTTTTTTTTTTTTTAATATGGCAGCACTAGCAAATTAAGATAGAGGGCAAAACATCACATGACCTCTTGTTCCCTCACAATCTAATGTAAAATTGTTCCAGATTTAATGGAATAAAAATATTTTGAGAATTTACTCCCCACCTTCCATAACCTCTGCTATTCGTTGCCTTCTCTTCTACCAGAAAACAGCTCCCTACTCTTACTCCATCCCATGTGTGATGGTTAAAGTTGTGTGTCAACTTGCCTGGGCCATGATTTTCAGTGTTTATATGTGATCACTCCCGTGATTTAATCTGCTGTGACTAGCCAATCAGTTGAAAGGGAGTTTCCTTGAGGGGTGTGGCCTGCATCGAATATAAGCAGAAATTCTGGCTTTTTGCTTGCTCTGGATCCTGTGGCTGCCTCCTGTTCGTCTGACCTCCAGTTCCTGGGACTTGAGCTATCAGCTTATCTGCCGATCTTGGGATTCATCAATCTTCACAACCTGTGAGCAGAGCCCTGCTCTCTGACCTGCCAATCTTGGGTTCACCAGCCCCTGAAGCTCTGTGAATCAAGAGAAGCCTCGTGGTCTTGCCTGCCAATCTTGGGATTCATTGATATTCACAGCCTGTGAAGAAGAGACCTACTCTCCCACACACCGATCTTGGGTTCGCCAGCCCCTGTGACTACGTGAATTGGGAGAAGCCTCTATCCTAATCCACAGACTTGGGACGTTCCAGCCTCTACAATCGTGTGAGCAGTTTCTTTGATATAAATCTTTCTGTATATATAGTTATACGCTTTACTGGTTTTGCTTCTCTAGAGAACTCAGCCTAAGACACCATGGCAAAGAGGATTTGGATCTTTGGCACCCTGTTTCCCTCAAGTTATCAACTCCTAGTTCATGTTTTCCATCTTCCCACTGTACAGGTTAGTACATGCCACAGCTTCTCAACATCAGATCACACTTGCATTTCATCTTAATTTATGATTTTGCTTCATAACCTCTCCCCTTTCTACTCACTCTTGTCTCTCTCCTCTAATTCTCTCTCACATATCACCCTTCACAGAGTTAAAAAATGGCTGTTTTCTGGCTCTTAAACATACAGAAAGATACTCGTGTTAAAAAGAACAACAAAAGACCAAATAATTTCTTCCTAGAAGATTGAAAAAACTTAAACAAATGTCAATATCAAGTGTAGGGAGGATGTGAGAAAACAAATACTCTGTGGTTGGGAAAATAAATTGCCACAGCCTTTCTGGAGCAAAATTTTGTAATTACTATTAAATTTGAAAGTGCACATTTCTTTCAGCAATTCCACCTCTTGATCACTGCTTCAGCTAGAGAAACACTTGCATAAACAATTAAGAAGGAATACATGCACAAGGATGTTCACTGCAGCATGATTTATGATCAAGAAACTTTGGAACAACCTAAATGCCCTTCAGTAGGCAATGGATAGTGCGTGTATCAATAATCTGGGCTATTGTTGTTTGCTATTGTGGAATTGGCCCCGGACTCATGGCAACCCCATGCACAACAAAATGAAAGACTTCCCAGTCCCATGCCATCCACATGACCAGTTGTGGATCAGATCATTGTGATCCATAGGGTTTTCACTGATTGATGTTTGGAAGTAGATCACAAGACCTTTCTTCTAGTCTGCCTGAGACTGGAAACTGCTGAAACCTGTTCAGCATCATAGCAACATACAAGCCTCCATTGACAGGGGTGGTGGCTGTGCATGAGATGCATTGGCCAGGAATAGAACCTGGTTCTCACTCATGGAAGGCAAGAATTCTACCACTGAACTACACTATACAGCAATTCAACATAATCCTGCAGATCTACATGGACTGGAAAAGAAACTGGTCCAATATACAATGTTAAGTGAATAAAACAAAATGCAGAAGGCTACATACAATATATCGAACCAAATCCATTGCTGTCAAGTTGATTCCGACTCATAGCAACCCTACAGGACAGAGTAGAACTGCCCCATAGGGTTTCCAAGGAGTGGCTGGTGGATTCAAACTGCTGACCTTTTGGTTAGCCGTCCAGCTCTCAACCATTAGGCCACTAGGGCTCCACATACAGTATAAAAACCCGTTGCAGTCAAGTTAATTCCGACTCATAGCAACCCTATAGGACAGAGCAGAACTGCCTCATAGAATTTCCAAGGAGAGCCTAGTAGATTCGAACATACAGTATAATAGTATTAAAAAAATACACAAAACAAAACTATGTATTTCTATATGTGTATACACATGAGAGAATAGAAACAGAACTGGAATGAACATCTTCAGCTGATAACAACGATTATCTCAGGGGAGGTTTTGAGGACAGATTGAGGACAGAAAGTCAACAGGAATTTTATTTTTATCTTCTTTAAACATATCCCTAACAAAAATACAAGGTGCTCTTGTGGTATAGTGGTTAAGCACTGGGCTGCTAATCAGAAAGTCAGAGGTTCAAACCTACCAGCTGTTCTGTGGGAGAAAAAGGTGGTGGTCGGCTTACAGATTACAGCCTTGGAAACCTACAGAGCAGTTCTACTCTGTCCTATAGGGTCACCGTGAGTCAGAACCAACTTGAAGGCAATGTTTTTTTTTTTTTTAAGAAAAATAACTTCATGTAATATTTGTGTGATTTAAAATAAATAATATTTTAAATGAATAGGGTTTGCTTATTACCATTCCTAACTTCAAGTCAGAAGTTGCTAAGGAAGAAGGAAGATTGCAACGGAAGGGGTTAGAAATAAGGCAGAGGAGAGGAAAAGCCAGCACTGCCGCTTACAGCATGTTTCACTTTCATACCATCTTGGAGGAAGATGTGAGATGTGGCCACAGTAGAATCAAAATAGCTGAATCCCAAGACAAGCAAGCAGGAACACTGTACAGATTTTTCCCACGACGGATGACAAAAACATTCATAGAAACACAGCTCTCTTACCACTTAGCTGAGGAAAAGTCACCGATCCACTCATTTTCCACGTGGATGCCTGGGATGTTGACTGGAGAACCAAAGCTTTGGACTCTTTGGAAAAATGAAGGAAACAAGAAAATAAATTTAGGTAAATGCCTGTCTTCCCATTTTGGGGCCCCATTGCCCCCATACTGACTTCTACCATAAAAAAAGAAGAGCTAACGTTTGCTGAGCATTTACGATGTGCCAGTCACTTTTCTACATGATCTACAGGCATTCTCTCATTTAACCCTCAGAGACAGCCTCCAGGATAGGTGTTATTATTCCATTTTACTGATGAGGAAACTGAAGACCAGAAGGATTAGGTAGCTTTCCCAAAGTCACACAGCAGATATGACACAGGATTTGTACCCAGCCAGTGTGAAGCCAGAGCACACACATGAATCACTCCACTCCACTGCCTCTTATATATTATACTATTGCACACATTGATTTTCTTACCCTATGCATGTCTGTTTTCCTCTACTAGACTATAAGCCCCTTTGGGTAACAACTACCATTTGAGTGCTTATTAATATGCCAGGTACTCATCTAAGTCCTTTATACACTTCGATGTTACATAACCCAACAACACACCCTGGGAAAAATTTGAGGTTAGAGATCCACCGTAAAAAATGGGAGAATTGGGAGTCAAGTCCAACAGTCCTATCCAGAACCTCCAAGGATATGAATTGTATCTTCTTTTTCTGGTGTCCTCTGCCCCTCGAGTCTGGTAAATACTTAAAACTAGGCCTGACTGATGGATGAATGGACAAATAAATGAAAGAATTCTCCTCCACTATAAAAAGCCAATGAGTCAAGTGAGTACACCCCTCACTTGAGTGTACTCAACTGAGTACACTCACCCCTCAGGAGTTTCAACAAAGGAGATTGGTGTGTTTGGAACTAGCATGAGACAGCTAAGTGCCACCTAGCCTAGAGTGTAAAGACAAATATTCTAGAAATGTGTTACCATGGAGAATTGCATGAATCAGGAAGGTCTCTCTCTCTCACTCCTGTCTCTCTCTCGCATGTAGCACCAGTTAGAGCCAACACTAGGGCACTTGGTTCATGGCAGGTCACTGACTTAGAGCTGACAGAACCACAAGGAATGAAATGAATCACAAAGAATGCTGCCCTGATGTCAGTTTGTCCCAGGTGGGCTTCATGGACACAAGAAACCCAAAGGTCATCTGTAGTTATCTGATTCAACAACACTTTTATTTAGTGTTTCCTTCTCCTCAGTCCAAGGGTGAGGAAAGAAAAAGAAAAAGCAAGCATCCGCACACTTTTGGATGTGTGTGAGGCAGTCTTTCCAGAAGTTGCCTCAGTGCTTCTCTGAGAGTCACTGAAGAGAAGGAAAATTTCTGATTCTGGAAGAGGGAAAAAAAACTGCTTTGATAAAAAGCAACTGGAAAAATGACAGTGTTTGTGCTGGGTGGTGGGGTTCTGGGCTATTTATATAGTTATCTTTCTGCTTTTCTATATATTTCAGGCTTTCTTTGAGGAAGAAGAAAGCAGGGAAAAACTATGAATGCATTTTAAGATGATTATTTGAAAGGCAAAAGGGATGATAGATAGACAGACAGACAGATAGATAGATAGATAGATAACTAGGTAGGTAGGGAGAGAGGGAGGGAGATAGATAGTGTCATGGATTGAATTGTGTCCCCTGAAAATATATGTATCAGTTTGGCTAGGCCATCATTGCCAGTATTGTGTGATCGTCCACCATTTTGTCATCTGATGTGATTTTCCTGTGTGTTGTAAATCCTATTACTATGATGTTAATGATATGGATTATTGGCAGTTATGTTGATGAGATCTACAAGATTAGATTGTGTCTTAAGCCAATCTCTTTTGAGATATAAAAGAGAAAAGTGAACAGAGAGACATGTGGACCTCATACCACCAAGAAACAAGAGGCAGGAAAATAGTGCATCCTTTGGACCTGGGATCCCTGTGCTGAGAAACTCTTCAACCAGGGGAAGATTGTTGACAAGGATCTTTCCCCAGAGCTGACAGAGAGAGAAAGCCTTCCCCTGGAGCTGACACACTGAATTTGGACTTGTAGCCTACTAGACTGTGAGAGAATAAATTTCTCTTTGTTGAAGTCATCCACTTGTGGTATTTCTGTTATAGCAGCACTATACAGATACAATTCATATGATTAAGAAAGACAGACAGACAGATAGATAGATAGACAGATAGGTTTAGGGTTCATGGATTTTAAATGACTACTCAGACTATAATAGAATTATCAAAATCAATATTGTAAAGGTATTCGAATTATTCTGGCCTTTACTGAGGCAGATAAAACTACTAAGAAGGCTTTCAAGCTCTCTCATGATTGCTTTTTAATATTCTTACCTAGGAATCAGAGGTTGAAACATGGTGGGAGCATGGATCAGACCCTCTATGCTATGGAGCTAGTAACTCAGAAAGTGCTACAAGTCCAAGATCAAGAAGAGTTCAGAAAAAAAAAAGAAGAAATGAGAAAAAGAAACAAGGATAAAATCAGTTCCCCTTAAATGGATATCTTAAGATGTCTAGAGCCCTTTCCTCAACTAATGCTAGTGCCCAGGCAGACAGAATCCCTGGCAGGGTGGATCTGGAGTCTGACCCAGAATGACCTTTCCTGGTTCTTCAATAAGCATCTCCTGCAAAACTCCTGGGACGCCAACTGGAGAACTAAAAATGCTGACTTGTAAAAAGGATAAATAAAAACACTAAAAAAAAAAAAGAAAGAAACCATAAAACAAAGGGAAGGAACAGTTTAGTGAAACCACATCCTTATTGACACACACACACACACACACAAGGACCCAAGAGCAAGTCGCTGGCTGCCCGATTCAGTGGAAGAACTCTGTTCCCAAGGACCAGAAGGGAAAGAAGGGCCAATTGAATACTATACCTGTGGTGAGGATGGGACCTTCTGTGGGAGGCTTAGAGGTCAGGAGATCTTCGGCTGCCTCTGGAAGGGAGCTCAGTGTTGTCTGAGGGCAGTGGGTTGCAGTTGTTGTGAGAATAGGGGTGGTTGTCGTCTGAAGTGATGTTCCAGTTGTGAGGTCAGGTGTAGTTGGAAGTGCAGCTGCCGTTGTCATCATCCCAGTGGTTGTGGTTAGGTAAGGAATTGTTGTTGGATGTGTGGTTGTTGTTGGACTTGTGGTTGTTGTTGGACTTGTGGTTGTAGTTGGAGGCGTGGTTGGTGGAGCTGTAACAAATGGAAGATCTGTCTGGTACCAAGTAAAGATGGAGTAAAAGGGAAACAGACACAGATACATCTGGGCTCCTTCCATTTCTCTCCATCTTTGTTGTCCTCACGTGGTCCATTGGCCTGGACTCACTTGGTCCATTGGCTTGGCTTACTGTAATGCCTACTACAACTGGTTTCTTGCCATCGCTCTTGTCCCTTCCAATCTGGTCTTCACAGATTAGCTAGAGTTACTTTTAAATTACAAATTAATTATGTCGATGCCCTGCTTAAAACTTTTTCCCAGATCCTCCTGCCCTTAAGATAAAGAGCTAAGCACATGACCTTGGCCAGCAAGGCTCCATTGGATCTGGACCTGCTTTTCATCCCAATCTCATGTCTCCAGCCTCCTCTTCTCCCTTTTCCCATCCTGCTGGGCTTCAGTTCTTTGAACACATCAGTGAACTACCAGCCATAGGCATTTCGTTCCTGCTACTTACTATTTTTGTTTTTCACTAGGCTGACTCCTACTTAAACCTTCATGTCTTCACTAAAAGATCACTTCTTCTGCAGGGAGGATGTCCAATTAGTCTTCCTGGTTATGCATGCTCATATTTTATCTTCACAGCACTTACTGTGTTTCACTAACTGCACATTTATTTGCATGACTATTGCTTAATGCCTGCTTCTTCCACTAGACTCTAAGCATCAAGAAGGAAAATCTGGTATCTATTTTGTTCACTAGCCCTGGTGGTGCAGTGGTTAACACTTGGCTGCTAACTGAAAGGTTGGCGATTCAAACCCACCAGTCGCTCCACAGGAGGAAGATGTGGCAGTCTGATTCCATAAAGATTTCAGCCTTGGAAACCCTATGGGGCAGTTCTGCTCTGTCCTATAGGGTCGCTAAGAGTTGAAATCGACTTGATGGGAAGCAGCGGATTTGGTTTTGGGTTTTATTTTGTTCTCTACTACAAGTGCAGTACCTATCACAGTGTCTGCCATATAGTTGTTGGTGTTAGTCGTCGTCAAGTCGGCTCTGACTCATGGCGACCCTCTGTACAGTGAAACCTGTAGAACCAGAACTTAATGGATTGCTGTATTTTTCCATATCTCACTCTCACAAGTTTCCCACCTTTGACAGGATACAGCCTTACCACTTTTCTATTGCTCGTTTTAGTGGAAAATATTTTAATTTTCTTTCTCTGACAGGTTCTGCCTTACACAGGTTCTAGCTTTTGCAGGCTTTACCATAAAACAGAACAAATGATGCCTGACCCTGTGCCATCTTCATGATTGTTGGTAAGTATATAATGTTCTATTGAGATCCATAGGGTTTTCATTGGCTAGTTTGATCACCAGCCTTTTCTTTCTAGCCTGTCTTAGTCTGGAAGCTCTGCTGAAGCCTATCCTCCATCGGTGACCCTGCTGGTATTTGAAATACTGGTGGCATCGCTTCCAGCATCATAGCAACAGGTAAGCCACCACAGTATAACAAAATGACAGACAGGTGGTGGCTGGCATATAGCAGTGGCTCAAAAAATATTGCATGAGTGAGTAAATGAATGACTGACTACATCAAAAGTGAGCCCAAAATATACAACATAGGTAAGAAAGTAGTCTCTTTCAGATACTAAAGATTGGTTTGTGCCAATACCACTCACCCTTTAAACATTTGACTTTGGGTTTATTAGCCACAGTTTATTCTACAGATCTTATCCTCTCTTATTTATGCCAAATTTCCACTAACTCTAATGGACCAGAAAGGCACCATTTATTTCAAGTGAACTTAGAAATGACCTCATAGATATTAAGGTCAACACATTTTATAAAATAATAACTGATTCTACTAGACTTGAAAAAAGAAGACTTGGATTGGACTCATTTAACTTCAATAAACATCATTTTAGTCTTCTGCAGAATAGAAATAATACCCCCATCACACAAAGTTGCTTTGGAGAACAATGTACTAATATATGTGAAAGTTCTTTAATTAGATGCATCCACATCATTTGTTCTCAAATTTTAGGGTGTATTAGAATTGCCTGGGAAGCTTGTCAAGCATATAGATAACCAGACCCTACCTAAAGAGATGCCTGTTCTATTAGGAAAAGAGCCCAAGGATCCTCCAGATGATGTCGATACAGGTAGTACACAGAGCCCACTTTGAGAAGTTCTGTTCCAGTATTGTTAGTGTTGGTGGTTCGGTGGTAGAATTCTTGACTGCCATGCTGGAGACCTGGGTTAAATTCTCATCAAATGCACCTTACATACAGCCATACCTATCTGTCAGTGGAGCCTTGCGTGTTGCTATGATGCTAAACAGGTTTCTGTGGAGCTTCCAGACTAAGACAGACTAGGAGGAAAATCCTGGCTATCTACTTCCAAAAATCAACAATCAAAACCTTATGGATCACAATGGTCAGATCTGCAACCCATCACAGGGATGGTGCAGAACTGGGCAGTGTTTTGTTCCATTGTGCATGGGGTCACCATGAATTGGTGGCTGACTCAACAGCAGCTAACAATTGTTAGCATAATTCAAAACCATAGGCTGCACCCCATGCAGCTCAAATCTTAAGAGTTCCAGCCATATTCCAAATTTCATCAAGAGCAACTGAGAGTCACAGAAGGAAAGAACACCTAAAAATGCTATGACTGTCTCCAAACCCCATTCCCCTTGTCCCTCTTCCAGAGACCACAAACAATTCATTGGCTTATGGTCTGAAGCTGGCCCATGGACACATTTTATTTAGTTAACATGGCACTTTTAAAACTTTTTTGAAATCTTTGCCAACATGCAACAATCAGTGTAGTTCATATAAAAATTGGAAAATTTGAAAACATTGGGGCCAAATTTCTGCCAAGCAATGATCCACTAGAAAAGCAGAAGCTGCTCTCTTCAGATGGACTCTGCAATTGACTGGTCCCCGCCCCTGCCTCCTCACTGTAACATTTCTGTGACCTTCTCAGTCCCCATGGGCATTTGCGTTTTCCCGCCAGATCCATATCATGGCTCCTGTAGTCATAGCCACACATTTCAGATGTAACCTTCTTCCCACTCACTGCGTAGGCAACCATAGCCCCTTCACCACTGCAGGTTCCATGAACCCCCTGAATCTATCTGTCCACAGACATGTATTCCTTCACGCACTCACCTCTCATCAGCTGCAGGCGAATGTTCTTCTTCACATCGTTGAACCAGCCAGGCACCTCTATGCGGCAGCAGTACACACCGCTGTCACCTTTGTTGGTGTTTGAGATGGTCAAGGAAAGATCACCTCTCTGGATATTCTCTGAAAGTCTATACTTCACTGACCTCGAGAGCACCTTCGTTCCATCGGTATAGAGAAGCACCTGATTGCACTTGGACTTGGGACACTGGCCTCTGCCCCAGCACATGCTGTTGCTGCCTGGATGCCACGATGAGTACATACAGGGCAATGTCACTGACTGACCCAAGAATGCCGTCACGACAATCTCTGATGTGGCTGGTGCTGTGAGAAAAGATGAGAAAACCAGGTTGAGCAGTACTAAAATCTTCCAAATGCCATACAGTGATGGTGCAAATAGGTGCTTCCAGGAAGAAGAAGTGAGTTGATAGCGAATATATTTCTTTAGCATAAATTCTGCTGTGCCGTTTAATGCTGCTGTGCTCCTAACCTCACCTACTTTCATCCCGCAGTTGGAGCCAGTTGATCTGTCTCAATCTTAGTCTCCACGGTAAGACCTTTTTGCCGATTTTAACACTCTGATCTTGAGTACCATTCAAAAAAACATTTTTTAAATCTCTCCAACGAATAAACCTGACCCAGTAACTCAGTTCCATTAACTCATATAAACACCAGGTCCAAAAACAGCACTCTACCCAATGTATCTCAATGAGCAGTGACTACATACTACTGAATTGAATGCCTCAAATATCTTCCAATGCCTCCCTCGGTCTTCCAACTCAGAGGGTGCTATAGCAGGAAGAGAGACTGTTAAACTATATGTCATTACCCTTCCTTCCTTTTCAGAACTGGAAGTGGAAATTAATTGCTCTGGACCAGAATATGAAGTTAGGCAGAGTTCATTGATTTTTTTTAAGTGTTAGAATTGGAAGGGACCAAAAAAATTATCTAGAATGGCAGTTGTGACATACAAAAGGCTGGGGACTTTGGCTTACCAAATTTGTTATGTGGATGGAATGTTTCACCATTCCCCAAATGAAGTATCATGTTTCCCAACCCTAGCTGCTCATCAGCATGACCTGGAGAGTTTGTTAAAACTACATATTTTATTGTCCAAGTCTGAGTCAGAATTTCTGAGGCCGAAGCCCATGGATCTGTACATTAACCAAGTTTTCCAGGTCATTCTGATGCAGATGACTATTTACTCAGTGTTTGAGAACCACTGGACATGCGCTTCTAAGATAACTTACATCTGTAACAATTTGTGAAATATTTCCACTGCTGCAAATATTAAGCCCACTGGTTTACTTGAGCATCAGCAATTTTTCTAAAACAAAGCAAAACAAAATGCTGCTGAAGTGAAAGCCAGACAGATCATCAGGATCACATCCTTCTCCCTCTTGGGTATCTGGGTCTATGTTCATAGTTTCCTCTAAAGTACTCTTCTGTGGGACTGTCCAGTCACTAACTTTGCTGACCCAGTGGCAAGTTGTATAAGACTTGGGCAGCAATGCCCTGTTCCTCCCTAGCCTAGTTGTCAAGAATACCCAGATGTCCCTCTCCAGGAGAAGATGAGCATGGAATCCTAAGAGTTGCCCATGGAGCGGATGGAATGAAGTGCTTTACACTGTTAGCTCTTGCAATGAAAGGGCATTCCAAATTCAGACCAGCCTGGAACCCTGCCTGAGTCAAGTCTCTTCCTAAATGCTGTGGCACATCATTTTGCCTGCCATGAAACCAGGAAAAGAAAGAAATCTACTGTTAATAATCCTCAGCTATGTTAACAACATATAACACACACACCTAAAACTACTAACTTCTAAAATATGAGCTTGTTCCTACTAATAACTGGTAAATTAATTTTTTAAAAAAATGCAAGAATTATTTCCACTGGAGATGCAACAATTTGCTTTCCTAAGTATGATAGCACAAAGGGAGGCATCCTACTACTCAGTAAGAAAAGACTCAATAGAAAAACTGGCAAAGGAAATAACAGGCAATTCTCAGATGAGGAAATATGAGCGGCCATTAAATTTCACTGGAAAAAATTAAGAAATAATATCAAGTGTCTGCTAGGACATGAATAAACAAGGACTCTCAGGCACTGTTGGCAGGCATCTAGGAAATGACTTAGCCCGGTGGGGTCAGTTGGATTGAAATGGGAGTGTGAATTAGTGCAGCCACACCATGGGGGCAATTGGGCAGTTTCTATTAACACTCAATGTGCATATCTGCTAGGCAGGCCCTAGCAATTTCACTTTTTCCCTAGAAAAACACAAGTGCACAAGAAGACATATTTGCAAATGTTTATTGCAGCCTTCATACATATATGAATTTTTTTTTCCAGTTGCTGTTGAGTCAGTTTCAACTCATGGCAACCCCACATGTGTCAGAATAGAACTGTGCTCCATAGGGTTTTCAAATGGCTGGTTTTTCAGTAGATCACCAGGGCTTTCTTCCAAGGCATCTCTGGGTGTATTTGAACTTCCAACCTTTTGTTAGCAGTGATCACATTAACCATTTGCACTACCCAGGAACTCTGACATATGTGAATAGAATAGTGCAAATTTCCATCCTTGGGAAGGTTAAACCATGGCATACTCATTTCATGGAATTCTATGTAGATGATGAGTAGAATTAGATAGAGCTCTATGAATTCACATGAAAATCACCAAGTCGTTAACGTATGAAAAGGGCAAATTTCAAAACAACACATAAATATTAAACCAATTTGTCAAATACAAAAATTAAAGAGTAGGCATTTTTTGTGGTTACAGATGTATGAGAGTAAATGCATAGAGGGACGTCTGGTAGGAGATATACCAAACTCATGTGGCAGTTACTTCTCTGACCAGAGGAATGGGACTGGGGCTGGGGTAGTAGTCAAAAGGAAATTTAATTTTATAGTATTTTTATTTCTTCACAAAGAATATTTCTGTATTACTCATGTGATTAAAAAATAATTTTACAAAAAAGGAAGCAGGCAGCTTGGTGTAGGAAAAAACCACCTATTAGGCTTACACTGTAAACTTTGTTCTGCCATTTACTGCTTCTGTGTTCTTGGGCGAAAAGCCACAATAATCTTGACCTCATTGTCATCATAAGGCAAAAGGGATAATACTTGCCTCAGAAATAGTTCTAAAGTTTATATAAGCTAAGGAATCAAATGCCACAAAATCAAGTATTAGTATAAGTAACCAGGCACTTCAGAGTTTAGAAATAAGATCAGAAGCTATTCCTTCCAGCTGCAAAAGTGACCCAGAATAAAGAAATCAGTGGTCTCAAATCAGTTCCCCCTTTGGGGAATCACTGGAGGTGTTGGGTGCAACCTAAGTTCTGGTGCTAGTCTGGTTTCTTCTCCAGCTGGTGACCTTAAGCAAGGCCCTTCCTCAATCTGGGTCTCAGTTTCACATCTAAAAGAGAAGGGCTTGATTAGCATCGCTTAAGAGTCTGTCCAGCTCAGATCCTCAGTCATTCTGAGCAGTCTAAGAATTCTAAACTGGCCATTTTAGAAAAGGCACATAGACAAACACACATACACAACATAAATAAATAAAATAATAAAATTAGTTGGCCAGATGCTACCACCTCCTTCAAGCAAGGTAAAAGAAGCACACTCAATCAATCAGTGTCCAGCCAATAGCACAAAATGTGGACATTCCCTGGCAACTTTCAACATAAAAAAACTCTCCATATCATCTTCCTAGGGCAAGATAAAGACCAGTAAAAAACAGTGATAAAGACCAAACTGTAGTTTTCTTACACATCACCTCTCAAAAAATGACGCCAAACTCAAAATGGCTTTCATTCAGTCAACAAGGACACACTGTATACTAAGCATGAACTAGGTGCTGGAATACAAAGTACATCTGCCCTCCTGGAGTCTACAGAGCACTTGGGGAGACGGACAGTTATGTAAGCAATGACCACAGAGTCACAAGTTCTCTGGTGAATGAACTCCAGGGGCTACAGGAGCTCCCAGACCAGGCTGGGGCTGTGGGGTGGTCAGGAAAAGCCTGAGTTAAGTGGAGACGTGAGGATGCATAGTGTTAGAGAGGAAAGAAAGGCCGAAGAACATCGTGACAGGATTTGAGGGGTAGATGGGGTATGTTACATTTGATTTCACTGAATTGCAGGTGTTTTCTCAAGCAGAACATTTGAAACATTTATAAGTAAAGAATCATGGACTTTTAAAACTACAAGGAACATTACATATTGCTTGACTGCTAACCAGAAGTTCAGCAGTTCAAATCCACCAGCTGCTCCTTGGAAACACTACAGGGCAGTTCTACTCTGTCCTATAGGGTTGCTATGAATCGGAATTGACTCGATGGCAACAGGTAGTCCTAGATTATTAAACCTTATCTCATCCCAACTTCCAACAGTACAGAACAAAAACAATTTAGACACATTCCTAAGGTCAACGGTTAATGACCAAGATGTGAATGCAACTCAGCCCAAAGCACTGTCCTCTTTACTACATGGATGCCCAAGAGCTTAACTGATCAAAACCAAGTGTGTATATTTGTGTCATCCAAAACCTGAAACCGAAATGCAGGAAGGAAATCTCACCTTGAGGAGAATGAAGAACACCAAAGACACGAGGGAAAGATTAGTCCAAAAGACCAATGGACCACAACTACCACAGCCTCCACCAGACTGAGTCCCGCAGAACTAGATGGTTCCCAGCTACCACCACTAACTGCTCTGACAGGGATCACAATAGAGGGTCCTGAACAGAGCTAGAGAAAAATGTAGAACAAAATTCTAACTCACAAAAAAAGACCAGACTTACTGGTCTGACAAAGACTGGAGAAACCCCTAGAGTATGGCCCCCAGACACCTTTTTATCTCAGTAATGAAGTCACTCCTGAAGTTTGCCCTTCAGCCAAAGATTAGATAGGCCCATAAAAGAAAACTAGACTAAATGAGCACACTAGCCCAGGGGCAAGGATGAGAAGGCAGGAGGGAATAAGAAAGCTGGTAACAGGGAACCCAAGGTCAAGAAGGGGAGAGTATTGACATGTTGAGGGGTTGGTAACCAATGTCACAAAACAATATGTGTACTAATTGTTTAATGAGAAGCTAGTTTGCTCTGTAAACCTTCATCTAAAGTACAATAATAAATAAATAAAAATAAAAAATAAATTTGTAAATCCAGAAAAAAAAAGATATCTCACCTTGAAGCTATATCCCCAACAGAACAGAACAACAAACAAAAGCTCCTTAAAATAAAGAGAATAAGAATTATAATAGGGGTAATTTTGAGAACAAATTCCTCAGATTCAGACTGCAAAGGAAATTTCTTTCCCCCATTTCATTTTACTCTTTATTTTTATGTCTATTCTTAAATTGCCATTTTTGATATGAGCACAAATTATCCCCACCTTAAAACCAGTCTCTAGATAACCCACTGTGCACAAAAGGCAGGGGAGAGACCCTCCAAAGAAGAAAACCTGGGAGATGGATGAAAGGGGAGGGCTAAAGAGCCAGAGATGTAGACATGGAGTGGGCTTCAGCTTTACTGAACCCAAATCAGTATGTGAGAATCTGTCACAGGGTAACAAGCCCCCAGAGACACCTATATGGAAGGCTCCAGAACACTTACTCAGATAAAGCTGTCCGAACTCAATCACCAGCCAGAGAACGACAGGCCCTTTGGACATTTTGACTGTTGACAGGCCCCAGGAATCTGTCTATCTGTCCAAAGTCCATTTCTTATACCCTGTTAATGCTGACAGGGCGGGGGACTGTAGTTTCATTTCTCTTTTTGCCCCATAACCTTCCCTTTCCTCCCTCCTGAATGGCCTCCCTCAGTTTGCAATGTAAGATAAAATGTGCTGAGTACTTTTCTCGTGGTCACTCGTGTGTGTGAATGTGTGGTATGATGGTGTGGGCAGACGTGTACCTCTCCGCTCACCCACAGAGGGGTTGCCTATGTGTGCATGAGCATCCGCAGGTGTGTACATGTGTATGTGCACATGTAAGCTGCAGGTATCTGGACAGCTCTGCAGCTTGTGATGAAATGCAATTAACTGTCCAGCTGTCCACACTGGCATTTGTTTACACGTGGACTCCTCATGGGAGCCAAAGGAAAGTTAGACCAGAATTTGGATCCACTCCCATTCTGGGTTCTTCCTAGATCTGACCCTTGGTCCTGTTGCTCAGATAATGGAGTAAGAAAAGCAGGGCTGCAATCAACAGCCACATAAGCCAAAAACACCATTAGAGTTTATTGGGCAGGTAAAGAAGAGGTTTTGTAAAGGAAGCATATTGTGGTTTTTAGTACAAGTTCAAGGACAGGCTCAGGCATCAAACAGGCCCAAGTTCATCACTTGTTAGTGAAGCTACTTGATGGCAAAGAGCACAAAAGGTAATGCATGAGCCATATTACAGGACTTGAACTAGATAATATGCATGGCCCTTCTAAACTCTATAGATTAAATGATATACCCAGCATCACAGAACAAGTTACAGGAGGAATCAAATCAGTGCTCACTGACCAGATGTGTTTCTTAAAGCAGAAACTTATCATCATCATTATTTATTGACTGCTTAATTATATGCCAGGCACTGTACTAAATGATTTAGATGTATTATTTAGTACTCATAATCCTAGGAAATATATATTATTTTTCCCATTTAACAGATGTGGAAACTGAGGTATACGGCGATTAAGTAAATTACTCAAGACCCACAGCTAAAGCATGGTAGAACCAGGACTGAAATCTAGGACTTTATGATTCTTAAGCCCTTGCTCGTAATCATTACACTCTCCTTTGAGCTGTGACCTGTAGGGTAATTCAGCCATAAGACCAAGCCTATCTGTGGTTAGCCCCTATCTAGCCCCAGAGAAGGAATTTGAGGATACATACATGTTCCAGATTTAAAAAAAAAAAAAAAATCTTACTTGATTGAAATCAGCCAAACAATCCTCAAACATTCACCATTGCTCACAGTGACAGTCTCTGTGAAAATACAAATATCGGGTGAGGCTCTGAGCTTAGAGAAGCCAAGCAAAGCATGGGGTGGGAGAGAAACTCAGAGATGAAAGTAAAGGGATTCAGAGACAGTCTTTCCACTGAATGTACATGGACCTGTGGGATCCTTCTTCTACCCCATCCTCAGGAGACTGACAGATTTAATCCTTGGACAAACTCAATGGCCCCAATAAAAAACTTATAGATACTGATATTAATGTCCCCAAGCAATACCACCCATCACCATTTAGGAAAGCCACCAGTGATGAGCCTCTACCACATACCCAGAACTTCTAATTCGTTTTTAGTGTGTCATTATCAAATATAAATGGACAGTCCAAAAATAAACCCACACATCTATGGTCAACTGATTTTTTCACAAGAGTGCTAAGTCCATTCGATAGGGGAAAGAAGAGTCTCTTCAATAAATGGTGCTGGGAAAACTGGTTTTCCACATGCAGATAAATGAAACAGAATCCATGTCTCATACCATACACAAAAACAAATTCAAAATAAATTAAGGACCTAAATGTGCAACCTAAAACCATAAAACTCTTAGAAGAACAAGTAGGGGCAATACTGTCAAGCCTAGCTTTCAACAATGGTTTATCTAATACAATAACAAAAGCACAAACAGCAAAAGACAAAATAAATAAATGGGACCTCATAAAAATTTAAAACTTGTTCGTTGAAAGACTACAAAAAAAAAGTGAAAAGATAAGCTGCCAAATGGGAGAATATCTTCAGAAACCATATATCCAACAAGAATCTAATAACCAAAATATATATAAAACTTCGACAACTTAACAACAAAAAGACAAATAACCCAATCAGAAAATGGGCAAAGGGCTTGAATATACATTTCACCAAAGAGGACATTCAAATGGCCACCAAATACATGAAAAGATGTTCAGCATCATTAGCCATCAGAGAGATGCACATCAAAACCACAATGAGATACCACCTTGCTCCCACTAAGATGTCTAAGATCAAAAAAATAAAAACAACAACAAAAAACAGAAAATAACAAATGTTGGCGAGGATGTGGTAAAATTCGAACACTTATCCATTGCTGGTGAGAATGCAAAATGGTACAGCCATTGTGGAAAACAGTGTGGCAGTTCCTCAAAAAACTAAAAATAGAACTACCATGGGACCCAGCAATTCAACTACTAGGTATATACCCAAAAGTCTTGAAAACAGAGACTCAAAAAGAAACTTGTACACCAATGGTCATTGTAGCACTATTCACAATAGCTAAAACATGGAAACAATCTAAATGTCCATTAACAGATGAATGGATAGACAAATGTGGTACATACATCCAATGGAATACTATTCAGCCGGTAGCAGAAATGAAATCTTGATACATGCTACAGTATGGACGGAGCTTGAAGACATTAGGTGGAGAGAAATAAGCCAGTCACAAAAGGACAAATATTGTATGACCTCACTTAAACAAAAAGACGAGAAAAGGCCAAAGTATAGAACCAAAGCTTATTAGTGGTTACCAGGGGTGGGAGGGAGAGGGGAAAGGGTGACTAACAGTGATGGAAAAATTATATTGATTAAGGGTAGGGATGCACAGCCACTTATTGTAATTGCTGACAGTAAGTTGTACACCTGTAAAAAGTTGAATTGGTAAAAGTTGTGTGATAGATATATTTACAACAATGACAAAAAAAAACACAAAAAACAAAGAGTAGTTGCTGAGGCTGCTTATGTATAACCAAACACCTCATGGGATTTGGTTTCTTGGTTTGGAGATTTGAGGTCATGGTTTCATGGGATATCCCAGTTAATTGGCATAATAACGTCTTTAGTGCTTCTGTTCTACCTCCTAGTTCACTGCGTAGTGCCTGGGTCCTTAAAAGCTTGCAAGAGGCCATCCAAGGCACAACAATTGGTCTCTATTCACCTGGAGCAACAGAGGAAGAAGAGTCAGGAACAGGAGGAGGATATGGAACGTGTGGATAATCGCCTCCATGAACAACTGCCTCCTTTGCCATGAGACCGGAAGAACTAGATGGTGCCTGGCTACCATTACTGAACATTTCAATCAAAGATTCCCTAGAAGAATCCTGATCAAAAGCGAGAAAATGCGGAACAGAATTTCAAATTTTAATGGACTGTAGACTTTCTGGAGCCATGGAGGTTGGATGAATCCCTGAAACTATTACCTGAGATAATCTTTAAACCTTAAACCGAAAATATCCTCTGAAGTCATCTTAAAACCAAGCAATAGTTTAGCATAACTAATAAAAAGTTTTGCCTTGAACATTATGCTCTTTTAAGTATTATCTACATTGGGTCAAACTGGCAACAGTAACTTGAAAGATTAAATTAGGAACCTTAGGAGGCAGTTTGTTTATGTTCAGAGGGAGGAGCAACTTGAAGAATGTAATCAAAGTCTTTAAATTATATATGTAGAAACTGATAGACTGGTGTATGTTTTGATGTGTATATTCTCAACAACAACAACAAAATTAATAAAATGTAGAAAGAAGAAAATATATATAAATGGGCAACCAAGGATCACCAGACACCTGAGGAAAGTCTTCAACATAAAAAAGAGACCAAATGAGTCAGAAAAAAGAAAGAAAAAGAAACCTAGGGGAAAAACGTAGACAACAGACAGAGCAGAAGAAAACTTAAAAAAAAAAAAAAAAAAAGCTCATATTCTCCAAGAAAGGAAAGATTTTACATCTATGAGAAAAAAGAGAGAAGGCGAAATCCCAGAACAAGAAAGAGCTCTTGGAAATCAAAAAATATAACACCCACCACAAAATCATAGGGAAGGTTTGAAAAATAAAGTTAAGGAAATTTCCTGTAAAGTATAACAAAAAACCAAATAGACGGAAGACAGGACAGAAAAGATAATAGAAAACTCAACCTATAAAATTCAAATGATTAGGAGTGTTCCAGAACATTAAAATAGAAAACAGAGGGAGGAAATTATTAAAGAAATAATAAAATTCTCATGGAGGTGGTGCCAAGATGGTGGAGTAGTCAGATGCTTCCTGTGGTCCCTCTTACAACAAAGACCAGAAAAAACAAGGGAGTCAATTATATATGACAATTTAGGAACATCAAAGGCAAAGTTGAGGAATTGGATTGAGTGGCAGGGGGAGGGAGCCACGGTTTGGAAGCAGCCAGGAGTCGTCAGACCTGACCAGGCAGGAGCCAGCACCCTTCAGACCGGATAGGCAAGGTTAGGCAAGCAGTGGCACTCAGGAGGATTTTCCACATCAAGAGAGACCAAGCAACAGAGAGTCTACTTGGGCTTCCAGAACCAGTGAAAAGTGGTGCTCAATCGGCAAAAGATAAGTACATGTGTCTGACCTACCATGCGGATCAAAACACACCCCTTTGGGAAAAACCTCTCTCCCATTTACCTGTCCACGTCCTCGCTCTGCACCAGGTCCCAGGCTGACTTCAGAGGTCACTGAGTCCCCGGAACCAGAAGTAGGACCCGCCATGTACCCTGAGCCATTCTCCTGGCCTTGGAGAGGGAACAAATTAACAAACAGGCAAAAATAATCTGCCAGCTCCCCTAAGCTAGGAACTTACGGCAGGCACAGCTCCTTTGCCTAGGCACAGGCATACGGGGTCCATGGACTTTGAATGCCTTTCACCCCTGCATAGACTTGTGTGGGCCCATTTCGACAGCGTAGGCCCTCATTAGCACAGTACAACAGGGTATATACGTGAAGTCTCACTTCAACTGTATCAGCTATATGGTGGAGTGGCAGGTTCATTACATTTGACACTGCTCTGACATTAAGCAGGGTCC